CCTTCTACAGTAAGTTGAGTACTTTTAGCTGAAATCAAGCAGGTGTCATCCGCAATCAATACAGTGATTTTGAGAAGCAGCTAAGAAACGCTGAAGTACCCTAATTTCCGGGGTATAAGGCGCAGTACTTTTCACCGCGCGCGGGCTGATGATGATGACGTACGCGATGCGCCGCGCCGCACAAGCAGCCAACAGCAACCTCTTTCATCCAGGAGTAGCTTTTTGCTCCCTTTTTCTTTGCTATTTTCCTCTAAATAATGGTTTGTTTCAGAACAAGTCTCTACCTTCTTTTTTATTATTCAAGAAAGACAAGAATAAACAAAACCAGCACATTCAGAATACCAGTAGTATCATAGTGAAGGAAAGCACAGTTTTAGTACCTGTAGCATTATAGGAAACAAAGGAGAGCACAAATGCAGCACCGGGGATTAACCACAGCAGTCTTGGTTCAGTTTTCTAGATTTAAAGAGCAATCGTTTAGAAAGCGTTTTCGCGCCATTGTTCGCTGCGGCGGGTGCGCCTTATACGTGGTGCGCTTTATACCCCGGAAATTAGGGTAATTTTTAGGAATAAAGCATAACAGAACTTCTAAAATCACAGTCATTGCATGACCCACTATATGGGTGACATTGTCGTCAATGCGTTAAGCTAGCCAAATTTGTAGCCTCAACAATTTGCCGTATTTTTCACCATACAGTCCAAAGGACGCCGCATGTGACTGGAGCGCGATATCTATCACTGCATAGGTTTATGCTAACTTGGGGGTCAAAAAAGAGGAGATGCATTGGTTTGATTTGCTGTGTTTATTATATTAAGGTGATCACTGAAAAATGGGGCTCTTACGAAATAAATTTTCTCAAGAAAGAGAAGTGATTAGACTTTCCAATTTTGATAGTTGTTAGAATATGTTATTCTCTTTCAAACAATACCTATATAAGTTCACTTGCACAATTGATAATTTTTATACTTGCTAATATACAAAGTCAGTCACTTCGATAAATTATGAAGTTTGAACAGTATCTGCCTATGAAACATGTGAGACCACCCAAAGTACCACTGCTGGAGGGGGTTGTGGGACTGCCACTTCACGACGGCTTGATGGCCTCAACTCTCAAAGTCAGGAGATATGGCCATTAACAGCTTCGAGAACAAAAATACGCGTTATTCAATTCATTGCAGGTGAACGCACGTTCTGTAGGCACCATCTGATAGAGCTTTTTACGCTCTATCCATCCATATACAGAGCATCTCACAAGGAAGAGTTAGTTCCCAAGTCAGCTCGGCCAACCCGGATGATTCATACATCGTCGAAACGGGCTTGAAATGCTGATTCCAAATCTGCTCTCCTTTTCTGCGGAACGATTTTACGAAAGAAGTTATGAAGGTCAGAAAGTTTGAAGTTGTCATGTTTGCAGTGGATTATAAAATTAGCGAAAAGATCTAAAACACACCTAGCGGGCTTCCACTGGCTGTTTTCCGTCCTTGTAGTCAGTATAATTTGATACAAAACTGAAAACCCACTTTTACGTGATACTGTGCAGCTTTCGCCAATTTTACGCCCTTAAGACTTGACAAATTTGAACTTTCAAACGCTGATAACTTCCTTTATAAAGTTGTTCCGCAGAAACTAAAAGCAGATTTGGAATACGCGTTCCAAGCTTGTTACGGTGATATATGACTCATCCAAGTTGACCGAGCTGACTGGGGAACTCTTCCTTGTCAGATTTTATCTATCTTGGGAAAATATAGGGCAAAACATGGTTTTTTGGTTTTTTTGTTGCGCCAGAAAATGGCTATTTTTCAGATTTTTTCTCTTTTTTTGTGAAATTAAAAAGAAATCTCATGCATTTAACATATGTTTGACAGAGCATAAAGAGTTCTTTCGAATGGTATGTCACTTGGTTTGTGACTTTACGGTATAGCAGCGCAAGATTGAGAATTGTTCCAAAAACCCTGTCTGAATACTTCACGGCGCCACGTGCACGGTTATGTGAGAGGGGCGGTAACGTCGCCAGAATAATAGGCGAAGGTCGATTATGTAAGCGACGTTTGATTTGCAGCCTGCTAGTTGTTGGTGAGAACAGAAAACCTCAAAATGTAATAAAAATCAAGCTGCCCCATTTTTTAGTGATCACCCTAATATTAGGTTGTCCCGAAAGTTGTGTTCTTTTTTTGTTCTTTTTTTTTTCGAAAGTTCTTATTCAAACCACTATAAAACCACGCATAATAAAGGCCTGAATGAGTTTCAAAATGCAATTGATGCAGCTTTTCTTCTCCTTCTTAAGGTTACATTTCCTAGCCACAATCGTGTATGCTTTTTTGATGATTGCCACAACTCTTCACCTGTCATTTTTATTTGCTCAAAGTTAGGCTAATTTTCGAAAATTTATTCCAAAGTTTTGGAAAGGATTAAGTATGGTAATAGATTAAGTTTCGAACTATGCGGTAATATTTCTAGGTTCTCCTAACCTGCTGTTTTTAGCTTTGAAACACTATTATTTCAGAGCTCTCGATTTTTGGCAAAGTCATGAAACACGCGCAGCAAAAACATGAAAGCTTTTGAAGTTTCTGCTAATTGAAACTTGATTGCCAATAAACAATAATTATGCAACATAACCAAGTTTAACTTGCTTTGGGAAATCAGCTTTTTCGAATTGTCGGTAACTTTACGTGGTAGACGTAATCAAAAAAACCGCGGTTTTTCTCAACCAAATAATCATAACGGACTCAATAACCGTGGCCCTTGTAATCTAAAATAAATACAATGTAGCCAAAGATTTGCTCTACATAACGGCTATTAGCGTTCTCCGAAAATAGCAGGAGAAAATTTTAAATTCAATAAAGACTTTGTCACTATTGAGCTGCACAAAAAGCCATGACGATAACACCGCAAAAACAGAGTAGATCGGAGAGCAAATACAGCGGTATGGAAGAGGATAAAATTCTGGATCAAACGATAACTAGCTCGCTTATGGCTTGGTGTTCTGTGGTTTTAATGAGCGATGAAAAAACCGACAAAACTTTTGGGACAACCTAATATGATAGATTTTTGAGCGTTCTAATCGTCCAGAATCGAAAAGGTCCAAAAATTATGTGATTTCTCCGACGTATATGCTCCGAACCAATCCAGTTGCGTTGGTGATGGTCTAGCAATCAGCAATTCTGGAACGGGTATTAAGACACATAAATTTTCAATATTGTTTAAAGTATTGTATACATATGGCCCAACGGTACCATGTGATTGTTCGTGCGGTTAAACAAGCTAATTGTTTATTTGAGTCTTGCGTTTGAAATTCGCACATTTGTGAAAAGAAGGCTTTCAACTCGTGAAACCTGACATGTTTGTCGCTTTTTTCGAGCTCCTGCCAGGATCTTACAAAAACGATATCCTCAATGCATTCACCCCAAAAACGAAGTCCACTTCGACCCCAGACCATCTGTGACAGGCCATGGCTGTGTAGTGAGATACGGTGAAGCCTAAACAAAAAGTCAAGTTATAGGTTGTTAACTAGCAGCTGAGTCTAACTGCTAGTTAACAACCTAATAACTTGATTTTTGTCAATACCAAAAAGCGTAACAGAACTTTTTGATATTGGCGCGCTTACTTTTTTTCGCTTACTTTTCTTTTTTTTACGCTTACTTTTTTTTTCCCTTTTTTCCTGTGGATTGCTGCATAGGCCCAAACTGGCATAAACTGCTCGCTTTTGATGACAATTGGAAAAAATCAGCGATTTTTTGAAAACGCTTTAGTTCACCTAGATCAAGCACAACGATACGAAACTGTACATGATTGTTGATGGAGTCTGACTTATTTATCAAGGCAAAAAAAGAAATGGAATTCAGAGACAAATCAAAACCTGGCGCCCTCAGAAAGTTTAAGGAGCCGCTGTACGCAAGATTACTAGGGAACAAGCGCCAATGACTAAAGGGCGAACTTCAGAAAATGCCGAAATTCGCATGATGGGATTATTTTGATCTTCAAACACGGATATCATATTCATTCTTTAAGGTTACGCCTCTTTTCTTGTTTAAAGTGAGAACCTATCCCATAAATCTAACCAGTCTTTCAAAAAAAACCTACCATACACATGTATCGTCTTCGTGATCAGCATGTCAGATAATCCCCTACGCCAAGTTGCAGTCAAATTTGTTATAATCTATATTTTCCCTTTTACACCATGTACCTACCCTAACCCTCACTACGACGTCAGAATTTGGCAGAACTGCAACTGCGCTTGTTTCTTACGTCATAGCCGACATAATGGCGAAATTTGAATCGTTTATGCAGTTGTAAACTTAGTCAAACCTAAGTATGAATTAGTTTCATAAATTTCAAGACAAAGTTATTTATCTTGTTGATAGCTTTGATTTTTGTATTTTTATATCAATAATTAGTAGCCTATTCGTCTCCCCCGTAGGGTGTAAACGCGGAGTCGCAGATGCATTGCTTATTGGCGCAAATATAAAAAGCAAGTCAACCATTCTTCTCCACAGCATAATCAAAAGGTCATCTATTGGCGAGCTTTCGTTTTACCAGCATTATTTCCTATCAGTTCAATGCTGCTATCGAGCTTTGTATAAGAAGCTCAGAGAGCATGCGTCGATGGCATCAGCGCATACCTGTTAACGGTAAACAGACACTTGATAAAAGTTCCTTCATGCTTTCTACGCACAGGGCAAAAGAACAACAATGCAGGTTTCTGACTGTCTAAGGCCCGTGCATACCTCATGCGATCTCAGTTGCGACGCAAATTGGCAATGCTTCATTTGCTTATGTGTCGTAAACTCAATTTAAGCCGCGGAAAATAGCACATTTTATCGGCTCACAAAAGCTGAATACACCAATTGTGGTCTGCGAGTGTTAAAGAGAGTTGGGTTAAAGAGATCTGCCAAATGGCCGAATCGCGTGGCGTTGAAATTGCGAGAGGTAGCCCACTGCTTGAAGATTCCTCCGCAAACATTTGTTTACAATGGTCAACCGAAAAAATCAGTCTTGTTACCTCCGAATCCGCACCGGAGACCTGATCTTCGCTGCTATCCATGAGCAATGCAAAAAAGTAATTAACCTCTCAGAGAAAGGCGAGATATCATGTTTCGTAACAACACCAATTCTCGTAGTAACATGTTGACTTCTGATACTCACACTTTATATTTCTAACTTATTCCACACAAGTGAGTCATCCACAGTAACGCAGAGAAGCTATTCGCGTCTCACAGCCTGTTTAGACGCCTTGGAAAACCAGAAAGACCTAGCTATCCAAGTGGAAGAAAACATATGTTTAAATCTCTAACTCATCTGTTTAGCTCTGGGATGTCTGCATAAAGTTTTTTTTTGGGAAGACGGCTTAAGCAATTGCAATATGAGAAACCAGTGCGTCACCTCTGCTTCTCAGAGGCTCGCACTGGCTCGCTTTACTATCTAGGCCCTACTTATTCTCGCATAATAATGGCATTGGAACTCACCGAGCATTGCCGACCATCACGGACAAAATGTAAACAAGTACTCTTTCCGAAAGCTTTTTTATGTGAAGTCGGTGATTTCGCGTGGATGAGACTTTTTGCAGGAGACAAAACGCAATTTTTTGTAGGTTTTGGATTTTCCAGTGGGCTTGACAGTTGCAATAAGAACAGCAGTCACCGTGGGCTACATCTTTCTGCAAAAATCTTGTCAAATGCTCTGGTAAAACCTTGGCAAATTGACCATTTATACAACCAATACATTTTGGCGCCGTGTTTGTAAAGTAATGGGCTTTTGTCACTTTTTTGGGCCTAAGTTCATGGTTTGCACATTTACTTGGCATAAACATCTTCGACTCTGTAAAAAGTGGAATTATGGACCCATTTTTGAGGCCCAAATGCAAAGTGAATCCGTTTGACGCGCAGTTTTTGAGGGATCCACCCAACGAATCTGCTCATGCTTTTGCATGTTGAACTTTCATGCGAGTTGCATGCGCTGTGCAAAATTTGAGCCCAGGAGGTTGGCTGGAACACGCTCTACGAATTTCGTAACAGACACACTCTCACACACACACACACACACACACACACACACACAGACACACAAAGTCACGTAAACATCCTTAGGGCCGCATGCACCAACATCCCCGTGGGGAGGGGATAGCAGCTCAAAGAAAGCTTTATATTTCGAAACTCCAGATACTTGGATTTCACGTTGTGTACCTATCCGTAACTATTCCTACTACCCTTCACTATGAACATGTTGAACAGGAGCGAGAAGCTGTACGAACCGCATTTTTCAGCTTTTGTATGATCCCTGATGATCCCCGACGCTTTTCTTGAAAGTCATTTTTCTTTCTCCAAAGTTAACGAAAACCTTCCAAAGTTGTACTGAACAGCTAACACAACTGTGCTAAGCATGTTGCTGATAAGAACAAATGATTCTCTAGGAGTTCAAGAACGCGGACATAGAGGGATTGCGCGAATATCTGCTTCGGGTAGTATGGGTCTTTCAGTGGGCAGTGTAAGCTCAGACGATTAGATGTATGAGATGTTTGTACTTATGCTGCATCATTGTATTGATCTTTATGTTCCGTTGACCTCAGTCAACATGAATGTTACATGCCAAAGCACATTCGTACACTTGACAAAAGAAGACAACGAATGGACCAATTTAGTTGAGAATGGTGGGGCTGAGCAAAGGGATGCTTATTCTAGGTTGCTGCAAGGTTCAGAAAAGTTTTACAAAATTAGAACTCTTCTGTGGAAAGCTAAATCATATATAGTGGCAGCAAACAAGGCTTAAGGAGAAAAGGTGCTTGAAATTTTACACACTGACTAGCTGGCTTACCCGGCTCCGCCGTATGTTCCGAATAGAAAATTCCATTTCTCAACCGATCCGGACCAAACTTGGCACACATACCCTTCGGGCCCCGGCGGGTGTCACAGTCCACTTTTCGTTATCGATCGATGTCGATTTTATCGATTTTTTGCAAAAATTGAGCTACGGGGCTGGGAGTTGGCAGAGTGGTGTAATCGAGCATGCTGATCACCCCCGTGGGGGTGATCAGCATGCTCGATTACCCCCCTGTGCCAAATCCCAGCCCCGTAGCTCAAACATTGCAAAAAATCGATAAAATCGATAAAAGTAATGCACGGTGTCGAAAACTAATATTGTATTCGTAATCAGCATGCTCGATTACACCCCTGTGCCAACTCCCAGACCCGTAGCTCAAATTTTGCAAAAAATCGATAAAATCGATATCGATCGATACTAAAAGTAGCCTATGACACCCGCCGGGGCCCAAAGTGTATGTGTGCCATGTTTGGTCCCGATCGGTTCAGAAATGGAATTTTCTATTCGGAACATACGTACACACATACAGACAGACATACAGACAGACAGACAGACAGACAAACAGACATTCAGCTTTATATATAAGATATAATGGTACAATCATCACGGCTGACAAAAAGCGGAATGCTTGTCTAATGTTTCTGAGAATGCATTCAAAATAAAAGCGGAAAAATTGATGTAACGGTTACGACAAAAGAGGAAATCTAAAAACTTTTGATGAAGTGGCCTAAGTCCAATTCTTTGACTTCCGATTTCCTTCCACTCCAATTACTAAGACAGTAACGGATATTTCTGGTCCTTTGGAATACATTTTCAATTTGATCATGATGAGAGAGGAAGTTCCAAAGAGGCAAAGAACGTCCTTTGTTTCGCCAACTCCCAAAAAAGAGCTCCATACTTGTCCAGAAACTTCAGACCTATTGGTCTTACTTAAATATTTGCGCGTTTGTTTCAGATTCTAAAGAAAAGCATAGTGAGGCATTTGAAGGATAACAATGTTGTTGAGCCTGCGCAGCATTGTTTCCAAAAAGCTAGGTCTACCACTATTACCATGCTCCATTCTCTTAATTCTCTCAATGAGACGATGCATTCAGAAGGTGATTGAGTACGGATGTTAGTCACTTGGATTTCGCCAAGGCACTTGATAAGGTCTCACATAGTAATAAACTTACAAGACTTTGAAGCTGTGGGTATGCATTCGCGGATTGTTGTTTGGATAAGAGCCTTTCTGGCTAACAGGATCTAATATATAAAGAAACGTAAGCGCAATTCAAAAATCGGCAAAGAGCGGAAAACCGCGTGGCGGTCCCGAAGCGCGCGCATGCTACTAGCACCTTCAATTACTGGTTCACTAGTCTTTGTAGTACGAATAAACAACTCACTCTCCGGATCTAGAAGAATGAATAGTGGAGTACCGCAAGAAGGTGCCCCTCACCGATATTGTTTATCATTTACACATATGTTCTTCCGCTTATCCCATTTTCTCATGAGGTGAGTTGCACTGCTTTTGCGAGGCAGTATTCATCATTAAACCTGAGGCAAATTTTACCTTGAGGTAAATTTTACCTCAAGGTAAATTCTACCTTGAGCGATTCGTATTCATCAACGTATCTTGAGCTAAATTCTACCTTTGCCAACTTGATATACACTGACGCTTATTTAAAGGACGCTATGACATCTTCGCCGTGCATAAAGTTTTTTATTGCCAACAGAACTTTTGTTTGACAGGGAGACGATTCGAAGTATTCTTTCATGTTTGAACACGATAAAATGAGAATGTCTCAGGTCAAAGGGAATTTGTGGCCATTTTCTTTGTTCAAACTACATATTTTGACAAAACATGAATTCGCACCTCATTTTCGAAACTTATAAGCGGAGGATGGCAAGTTGCAGTGGCCTCGAAGAAATATGTACAGGGCAGCGGCGGTCCCTGGATTTCGGACTGGGGGAGGGCGCGACAAAAAAATTTTTCAAATGAATGGCACTCTAAAAAAAATTTTGGGGTGCTTCTCAAAATTTTTGCGGATCCACAACCTCAAAATCTGGAAAAACGGGACGTGGCGTCAGCCACGCCCCGAAAAATTTTTTTTATAAGGCTAATTTGAATTTTTAGAAAATTTTAAAAATTATTTCAATTATTTACAAAAATAAACAAGTTGTTTGCACATTTTTTAACCCATATGGGTAAGTTCCAAAAATTTCGCGACCCATTCTTGGGGGGGGGGGGCGCCCCCCCTCCCCCCCGCCACCCCCCTCGGTCCGCTACTGGTACAGGGTGTCGCAAAGTCTTTCAGTGCAACAATGTAACTTTGTTGAATCCAGTACATTCGAACCAAAGTTTGCAAGTGGGTTTGTCGTAAAGATGACATTACTTCAAAATTTGGTAATTCCATTGTGCACAAAACACCGGTTTCCCTTCATGGAAGAATAGTAGGATTGAAACATAAATTCTTGGAATGGTCCTGCTATTGGGAAAGAGAAACTTTTCGGATGCGAAGGCCCGAAAAACCTGATATGTAATACCAATCACTTTAAGTGGCAGGTTTCGGTTATGAGATTGCGTTTTTTACCAAAACATCGTTGGATAATCACGCCGGTCACATTGTAATCACTGTTTTCTATTATGCTCAAGAAGTTTATATAAGTTTAGTTTTTGAGTTTGAAAGGTTTTTACCATGTTTGGTTTTGCATTATTTATCTGTCACTTGGCCCCTTTTGAAGTCTGAAACGATAAATGTTTCGAAAAAATAAAAAGAGAACTTGACCGCGCCAATAACCTTAAGCTTGCAGACCTCAGTGATTTTTCAGGAGCTTGTGGCTGGCGCCTGGCGCTTTTGCCCGCTTTCAATGCCTTTCGGCGCTTTTAGACACTTCGGAGTTCTTTTCGGCAAATTTGGCAGTCGTTCAGAAAAAGAACTGATTTTATTTAACACATCCTCCCCTGCTTCCAACTGAAATGATGATATTAGAATGAACCCTACTGCAATACAATTTACCTTGAGCTGTACCTCAAGGTACAATCTACCTTAAGGTATAATTTTCGTATTCATCAAAGTCTTTCTCTCAAGGTTAGATTTACCTGTGCCAAGATGATTAGGACTGACGTATATTAGGAGCATGGCATGATACACTTGCAATAAATTGCTTTCTTTTGTATTTGCGTGATATTTTTACGAGGAACGTGTTGGAATATCGGTTTTCAGAGTTTTACAGTCAATGATTTTGAGACTGTACA